CGTGACATCCCCTCAGTGGCGTGTTTGGTGAAAGGGTCTGAACATTTTTTAGCACTTGTGACACCTACCCAGGGGCATATTCTTTTGATTAGCCATTATCGTGGATACAAGTTATCAGCCTGGGCAGGTAGATTTTATTTTTAAGGAATTGAAACCCAGATTGAGCCACCTGTCAGGAATGAGGAGACAGGCATGCTGTGGAAAGTCAACTGAGTAAAACGACCAGACCTCTAGAAAGTCCCCTCAGCTGTTCGTAGGGGCGGCTTCAGAAGGAGGGGCTCCGGCGCCGCTCTGAACAAGCAACAGGCCGAGTGCGCAGCTGCACCAGACAGCCGGCGAAGAGCAGCTCTCGTCGGGGGAGAGAAGCCCCACACAGCCTCGTGCTCGCATCCTGGACACCAGTGTCCTGCGATTTCTTTATGTGCCTGTGTGCTCTCTGTTTATTTACGTAACTGCTCTAACCCCCTTCCTCAGCTCCGTGGAGAAGGATTCGCCGCCAGCTCTCATCATGACTCAGCACCGGGGCTCCGACACCAGGCCGGGCTTTGAATCCAGGGACCTCGCCACCCAGGATGAGTAACCTGGGGGTTTACACCTGTGAATGTCCGCCCTCAGGTGAGCTGCTCCAGGGCTGTGCTGTCTCCTCTCCCAGATCCAGTTTGTAAGGACATCGTCTGGACCGGAGGCCCCGCCTACTTCTGTGTGACCTCGTCTTAATTACACCTGCAGAAACCCTGTTTCCAAATGAGCTCACACTCGCAGGTAGCCAGATTAGGACGCCAACCCACCTTTCTGGGGATGCAATTCAACACAAATTTCATATTTTGTGTTCACAGCCAAAAACTTTATTATAAACACGCACAAGTGTCAACCTCCTGATGGATTATGTAAACCCTTGGTTCCCCTTGGGGGGAAAATCGGGAGACATCTTTGGTTGTCATGACTGTGGGTGGTGCTCCGGGCACCCAGTGGGCAGAGGCCAGGGATGCTGCTAGACACCCCACAAGGTGCAGGACAGCACCCGCTAGAGAGGTGTGTCGTCTGGTGTAAAACAAACATCCCATGTGGTGAGGCTTCAGCCTAGGTTTTCGGGGGACCCAGTGGTACCCACAGCACCTCCCGCAGACTTCCATCCTGCCGTCCCCCCACATCAGACACCTGGGTCTTTACCACCATAGTGGATGGGGCTCGAGGCAAGTTCGTTTGACTTCAGGGAGGGGGTGAAAGCTGGGTGTAACAGGAAGTGAGAGACATCTGTTCTAAGTCATGACAATCGATCACTCACCTCTACGAATGAACACCTGCCACAAACAAAAACTAACAGCGGGCTTCCCTGGTGACGCAGTGGTTGAGAGTCCGCCTGCCGATGCAGGGGACACGGGTTCGTGCCCCGGTCCAGGAAGATCCCACATGCCGCGGAGCGGCTGGGCCCGTGAGCCATGGCCGCTGAGCCTGCGCGTCCAGAGCCTGTGCTCCGCAACGGGAGAGGCCACATCAGTGAGAGGCCCGCGTACCACACACACACAAAAAAACTAACAGGGCTGGGAGCCGACGCAAAGAAAAGGTACAACAGCAAGTTGTGTGATTCTGGAAATGCCACGTCACCTGGAATGAGGCCAGGTTCCGTGAAACTGGGGATGACCCAGTGGATGCTTCATACATACCCGTGGGCGAAATAAGTAGTGTTGCAGGGAGGAGCTTTGAGAAAGAGCCTCACCTCAGAGGCCTCGCCCGTTATTACTCAAAACCCTTCGACATGACGCCAACCCCATTTCCGGAACGTCGTGGAAATAGTGTTTATGAGTGTGAATTGCTATGTGTGCAGACGGTAGGGTAGAAGTGCGTGCATGTGTGAAAGAATACAAAGTATTAGGACGTATAAATCTACACAGATGAGGACGTGAGGCTGAGCTCTGTAAACCACATGAGACAGCAGAGCTTCGCTGAAATGGCTGGGGCTGAGGGCTGAGATGGGGTCAGAGGAAGACCACCTGGGAGGCAAGACCAGGTGCAGGAGCCCGAGCTGGACCCCCGCACTGGGGGCCTGGTGACGTGCTCCTGATCCCCCTTCCAGCCCCCGTGGGGCGCAGCCCTGTCCCCCGGCCCCTCGGGCCCTGGTCCTGAGATGCCTCGCCCCCCGGGATGCCAGGGCCACCCATTCCCATCCCCACACGAGTCCTTGGTGCTCTGTGACTCAGAGGCCCTGGAAGGGATGCTCAGGAGGCCAGGGGCTCAGGAACCCGGAAGCCTGGCCTCTGTATCAGCCACTTGGTGGCGTTGGGCAGAGGCGTTTGCCACAAAGTGCAACCTGCAGAGATGAAGACTCTTCCACAGACGGGTCGGGGACATCTTAGTCGAGGGTCTTGTAAGGCAGGACAGGGCTCCTGGGCCAACTTGGGGCACAGTCCCCTTCCAGGTGCCCCAGTGGCTCCCAGACTCACACCTGTGCTCAGAGCCCATCCTGCTACCAGCTCTCACCCACACCCCTGCACCCTCCTGTCATAGAGCATCCTGTCCTCGACCTCGCTAGTTCCGGGCCCAGCGCCGGGGACGCAGCCAACCACTGGCCCCTGGCAGAGCAGCTGCCTCCATCGCATCCTCTCAGCTGCGGTTCCTCCCCAGCACCGCCGTGGGACCCCAGGTGGGAGTGCAGCCCCCAGCCCTCACCTCTGAGGGCTCCACCCTGGGCCCTGAGCCCCCCCAGGGGTATATATATATATACCTACACATAGGTATACATATACCCACTTAAGGTACATATACACCTATACCTAGTTATGTGCCAGTCACTGTTCCAAGTACTTTACAGCTAGAAACCCGTGGACTCCTCCCAGCAACCCTCTGAGACAGGACCCCTGGCTTCGCAGATGGGCAGACACGCACCAACACCCTATGGGACACAGCCAGCGAGGCCCACGTGGATTAAATGCATTTGTGTGGATGTGTTTGAAAAGTGAATCCTCCACTGATGGTACTGTTTCCACAGAAAAATGCTTTCCCAGTTCCACACTATTCCTCACAAACTTTTAAACATAATCCACCAGGACATGTGGACATTTTAGCAGCGGTGTTTCAGGGTCCCTGGGACCCGGTGGACAGGACCCTTCCTCCTGCCCCTCAGTGCCCAGCTTACAGGCGCCCCTCCTCTCACCTGCTCCCCTCACCCCCGCCGCCCCCACGACGGGACACTTTTCACAAGGAAGAAAAACATGAATTTTTCTTCTCGTTCAGATACATTTTTGTGAGAGCAGATCTTTCTTCTCGGAAGAAATCACCACGGAGATTACCCCTAAAGTTTGCCCAAATGATGATGTACAGCAGGGTGACTATAGCTAATAAATAATACTTATGGCACTTTTGAAAGCTTCTCATCCCAAGAAAAAAATGTGTGATTAAGTAAGGTGAAGAATGCTAACTAAACTTATCGTGGTGATCATTTCACAATATATACAAATACCAAATACATACAAATGTCGAATAAAAAGAAATATATCTTTACACGGACAAACATAAAAATAATAGCATTGAAATCATGCTAGATAAAAATATTTTCCTACAACTTGAATTTTCATCTCACAAGATGTCCTGGAGAAGGTTCCAAGTCTCTGTCATCTATAATCTACACTGTTGTTTTTAACTGTTCCATAAAAAAAAGAAAAGAAAAGAAAAAAGAATTCCTCCAATTGTTTACAATAATAAGAAAGTCTGGAAACAGCAGCACCTCTGAGGGATGTATTAGTGAAAGAAAAACATTTCCAGAGGGCAGCCACGCGGAAGCCAGGCGGGTGCGAGACAGGTGGAGCAAAGCTGACTGCAAACGTGTCACAGCAGGACGGGTGGCTGGAGGTCAGAGTCTAAGGCAGGGAGTGGGCCGGGGAGGGCCTCCTTGGCCTGACTGCCTCCACAAGCCCTTAGAGCTGCCCTTGACATCCCCTGCAGGTCTGAGCCTGCGGTCTGACCTCGGGCTGGGGGACTGCAGGAGCCGTAGGTCAGGAGCTCAGTGACTCAGGACAGGGCAGCCCTGAGGCTGGGCCCTTTCAGAACCTGGGCCCCGATGTGCATAGCTGAGTCCTGCCCGGTTCTCACACCGGTTCTATTGACTGAGCCCTGGTGACGTGTGCCCCTCTCTGCAGCCCCAGGGTGGAAAGTGTTCCCTTCTGCTTGTCCGGGCCCCCGAGCAGCCTTCCCGGGACCGGCTTCGCCAGGGCCAGGCTTTCCCGGGTCCCTCCCGCCCCCTGCTGCCTCTACTCGTCCCCGGCCCTGGCTCTCTCTTATGGCCTGTGGGGCTGCCTGTTCTCCTGAATTCTCACCATCTGCCCCCTTGGGTCAGCCACCCTCCACGGGGACCAGACTCATCACACCCTCCCGGTGGCCCCAGGCCAGGGCTGTCCGCACTGCAGCCTCTGTTGCAGGCCACACCGTCAGCACCAAGGGGGCTGGTCCTCAACTTGGCTCCGTCTGGGTCCCCCGCAAGCCAGTTCGGGACCTGAGAATGTGGCAGGAGCCTAAGGGGACAGTGAGGCGGTAACTTCTGCCAGGCCGGGTGCCCGGCCCTCGCTGGTGGCATGGGCGCTCGGCCGGGCAGGCTCCTTCGAGCTTGGGCTGGAGCTGTCAGGTGAGCGGAAGCCCCTCTGCCCAGCCTCCCTCGACCGTCCAGCGCATCCGCCCGCCAAGGAGATCTGCTCTGCCCAGGCCCCCGCCCCACGCCCACCCCGCCAGGCTGAGCACTCCTCACGTGATGCTCTGCTCCCGGCCAGGCTGAGTCACTGCCTGGGGCGGGGCTTCTGCTGAACCGCTCTGTCCCTCAGGGCACTTGGTTTCTTTAGGTTTCTTTATCTTTAAAATAGAGATACCAGCGATACTTACTTCCTAGGGCTATAAGAGGGATTAAGTGTTCGTATTCGTTCATCCTGGGGTAATACCCGTACAAAGTCAGCCACGTGGCAAACCCAACCCCCACCCCCCGAGGGAACAGTGCCAGACCTGCCTCGTGGGATCACTTGTCTCAGCACAGCTTGGCTCTCGAGACGCTGCCCTGCTGGTCACACACCCTCCTGGGGCCACAACAGCGTGAACAGTAAGGTCTTCTTTCACCTGGTCCCCTTGCCTCACCGGCGCTCAGCCTGCCCCCCGCCTCTTCGCCCACTGCGGCAGGCGGTGTGCGAGGGGCTCCGGGACGGGGGGCACAGCCGGCACATTAACGCATTTCCGAAATACTTCCCCGCTGAGCCCGGATTCACAGTGAGATTCTCCACGAGCAGCTTTGGGTCGCTGCACACAGAGGCCCTGTGCTTTCCTTCCTCGCTGGTGAGTACCTCCCTTCAGGTACACCTGCCGAGGGCGTGCTGACGGAGGCTCCATCGCGGCTCCCATCCCCGGGAATCTACACACACCCTTCCTCCTCTCCCTTAACCGGGACGGCTTAGGCAGAAACCAATCTCTCAAGGCCTGAAGGACAGACAGGAGCACAAAGGGGACCCGGAGGGCCCTGCAGGGCTGGCGAAGGACGGAGAGGCTCCTGTGGCCCGGAGCGGGGGTTGGGTGCAAACAGGGGCATCCGAGCAGAGTCCAGGGCCGGCAAAGGCTGCCCTGCCCTCCCCACGCCTCAATCTGTGCCCTTACTTTCAGAACCATTTGCAACGTGGCATCACTGAGGAACAGTCCAGAATTCAAGGTGACCACGAGGCAGGCAGCCGAGTGGCAGGGCCCCGGCGGGTGGGACACAGACCCCGACTGAGACCGGCTCCACCCTCCCCAGGGTTTGACCTTAGTCCAGTGGCTGAGCTCCTGGGACCCTCCACACCCCCATCTGTAAGATGGAGGAAGGGTTTGCAGACCTCTGCTCAGCCGCTGTGACAAGCACCGCGACCCGAGGGCTACAACTGCAGAAATGTTTCTTTGCACAGTCCTGGAGGCGGGAAGTCTGAGCTCAGGGTCCAGCCAGGCCGAGTTCCGTGCGAGCTCTGCTCTCAGCTCGCGGACAGCCGCCTTCCCAGTGAGTCCCCACGCGGCCTTTCCTCTGGGTGCCCTTGTGTGGGGAGGGAGGGAGAGAGAGACAGGGAGAGAAAGAAATAGAGAGAGAGCACTTTGCCCATCGTGAGGGTCCACCCTCATGACCTCATGTCACCCTGATTACCTCCCAAAGGCCCCATCTCCGAACACCATGGGGGGTTAGGGCTTCAACACAGGAATCTGGGGAGGATATAAACATTCAGTCTATAACAGATGTCTACCTTCCAGGGCTGGCGTGAGGGTTGAAGAGATAATCCCTGGACTATAGCACGCACTCAAATGCTATCCCTTGGATAGGTTACAGATAGATACATAGTAGATATAATAGACAGATATCGATAGACGGATGGATGGATGGATGGAAGGTAGGTACAAACTGCAGTGCGGAGAAGAGGGCGGGGGATGAACAAAAGAAAATGGGAGACAGACACAGAGAGAGAAAGAGAGGGGAGAGACAGAGGTAATTTTCCGGCCTGTCTTCACCTCCAGCTCTGACCTTGGGAACTTGCCCAAGCACCCAGCTCTGAGGGCCTCGTGCTGGGCCCAGCCTCCCCGATCCCAGCACGCAGGCAGTGAGGCTCTGCTCAAACACGAACCAACAAGGAGCCACCCAGTGTCTGCTGTGCTCCTCCTGGTGGGATAAGACTGCAGGCGGCCTCGGGCTGGGTGAGTGCACTTTGCACTTGGGAATGATGGAAATAATTGTGGCCGAAGGATAAGATGGGGTGGATTAAAAATAGCTGCAAAATCTCTGCAGTTGCCCCATCAGGAGATGTAGCTTCTTTCCCTATTCCTGGAATCTGGTCTGGCCTTGCAACCTGCTTTAACCGATAGAATGTGCTGGAAGTGACGTGCAAATTCTGAGCGAGGCCAGCAGAGATCTTTCAGCGTCCACGTCCTGCTCTCCTACCGCTGCCGACACCGTGTCACAAGCCCAGGCTCACCTGGCCATGTGCAGGAGAACCAAGGCCCCCAGGCAACAGTGCGGCTCACAGCCCACTGTCTCAGAACATCCCCGGCTCGTTGATGCACCAGGTGGCCACAGCTGTGAGAGTGACCCCAGGCGAGATCGGCAGGGGAACCTCCCAGCTGCCTCAGCCCACATCGCTGAACCAAATAAACAGTTGAATTTGAACAAATAAACAGTTACTTATTTGAGCAGCAGTTGTTATTTGAGCAAATAGTTGCTGTTTTAAGCTACTAAGTTACGGGATGCTTTGTTTCACGATAAAGGCCATTAAGACACAAGAAAATAACCTATTATCATCGCAGTGGTGATCTATTTTCCAAAACTGCACTGAACCACGACGCAGCTGTCAGTGGGGACGATTTCACTGACACCCGCTCCTGCGCTATGGCTGTCAGAGCCCCAAGGCTCCTCGAGGGAGTCACCACCTCCCACCGTGTTGCTGATGGGAGCTCAAGGCGAGACCCCTCCCCAGGTCAGGATGCCGGCGTGTCTGCCGAGGTTCTCAAATGCTGGGGCATCTGAGGTAGTCATCTGAAGCCGAACTTCTGGGACTGTAACACACAAGCAAATCACCCAGGGGCCTTGTTAAAACGCAGGTTCCTACTGAGAGGTCCAGGCTGGGCCTGTCTGACACCCCGGGTGACCCAGGGCTGCAGGCCCACAACCAACCATGCGAGGAAGCAGTAGGGGAGCCAGGCTGACCGGCCTGGAGCCCAGGGGTCTCCACCTCAGCTGTGCATCCCTGTGGAACTTCACAGACAGTTCCAGAAATTCTGATCTCCTTGGTCTGGGTGTAGCCTGGGATGGGATCTCCTGACCTCAGTTCGTCAGTGATTCCAACGTGTGGCCTGGGTCGAGGATGCCCTGCATGAACGGACTGGTCCACTGGCTGTGGCTCTTCCACCCACGCCGCAGGCTCCTGCCCACCTGGTAAAGACCTGGCCTCACCCCCATAAAGAGCCCCATTACCGCTTCCTTCCGCATGGTTGGAGCCAGGGCGAGGGCTGCTGTGAGGCCCCAGGCACCGCCAAGTGTAGCAGAGAGCAGGGTTCATGCACAGACGTGCCGGCAGCTGTGGACCTGGGTCGGAGCCCCAGGCGGCTCTCACCCTCCCCTCCCCCGCGCAGCGGGTCTCAGGCCACCCTGCGGGTTGGCAGGCCGATCGGGGGCAGCTTATGTCAAGTACCCGGTTCGGTGAGAGACCCGGTAACTGGTTGCTCTTATTCACAAGCACAGTGGCAAGAGGCCTGCACAGCCAGCGGCAGAGGACTCGAGGGGCTGAGAGTTCAGGTCAGTGTTTGCCAACGTGCGGCACCCAGGCTGGAAGGCCCCTGCGGTGAGCGCAGGCCCTTTGCACTGCCTGCCCTTGGTGCAGCGTATGACTTACACCTGCCAGGACCTGCCGGGGAGCCAGGCCCTGAATGGCTTCCCTTTAAAGACTCCAACAGTGAAAAACTAAAAATTTTAGAATTGAAGGTGCTCTTTGGAATGGACTTCTTCTGCGTTTTGAAGTGAAAGAAACTCATTTTCAAAAACTGGACTCAAACAACCTTCACTTTATAACCGAGTGTGTGGAATAAACCCCACGTCAACGGGGAGCCAGGAGATGGTGGGTGTGTTTGCTCATGAGAAGGCAGCTCTGTAAGCGATTCTTGGGCGGCTTGTCTCTGCTGTGCAGCTCGGGAAATAGTAACGCTGGTCCCGTGGGCAGGACAAGCAATTCCAGCAGCCGCCACCTTGCAGATACTAGTTTGGGGCTGTTTGGGGGCTTTCTGGGAGGGGGTGTTGTAGTGGTATTTGCTTGGTGGGGAGTGACAGTGTCTGAGAGGGAGAGAGACAGCGAGAGAGAGAGAGAGAGAGAGAGAAGGAAAAGCAGAGAAGACGGGACAGTGTGACGGCAGATTGCAAACGGCGCGGTCCAGAAACCAGTGTCTGGGAAGCGGGGTTCCTACATCCAAGCCCCACCCCAAAGTATGCTGCCTTCTTTCTGTTCTCCTTCCTTTTCTTGCTTCCCTCAAACCTGTATTTTTTTTAAATTACAAAAGTATCAAATACTGCACACGTCTAAGAGGAGGAAGTGGACATCCATCTTGCTGCCCAATCCCTCCAACGGTGGTTCTCATCTTTCAGTATAAGAACCGCTTAGGAAACATGTTAAAAAGCAAGTATAACCAGGACCCAGCCCCAGAGCAGGTGATTTACCGGGTCTGGAGCGGGTCTGAGAAGCTCCCCGCTCAGCCAGCTGCCGCAACCCCTGCTGGGGATTCTGCCCCAGGCCCAGCTGCTGGGGCTGGTCACAGGCACGTGCCCCTCCTTCACCGATGCACACACACGCATACAACACATAAGCGTGCTATGTGACGTGGAAAACACGCACAGAACACACACACACACACACACAGAGGCAGGACCACACCACAGACTGTGTGCAGCGCTCCCAGCCTGCCCACGGAGCCCTGACCCGTGGCCCATCCATCACAAACCCAGCATCTCCTGCAAGAACATGCTCGCAGGCTGCTTTCTGCAGTCCCGGACTTCGACCCCTCTCTACCTCACAAAATCTGCCCACATAGAATCAAATAAAGCCACACCTCGTGGCAGTGACACGCTGGAAGTTCAGGCTGGACTTTATCTGCAGTTGGCGGTAGATAAGGCGCTGCTGCCTGGTGATCAGTACTTTGTGGGCAGTGGGTGCTCCAGTGGGTGCTCCAGTGGGTATTCTTTGTGCCTTGCCAGGCAGCACACAACAATGAGTTCTCTGAAAGAACCGGCTCCAGGGCTCCAGGGACCACGTGAGATTGCGGAAGGAGTACAGATCCTGAGGTCAAACAGGCCTGAGCTCAGATCAGCTGTCCCTTTCACCGGCTGTAAGTATGGGGACAAGTCTGCCTCTGAGCCTCAGTTTTCTCACCTGTCAAATGGACACAGCAATGCTCCACCCACAGTTACTTCGTAAGGGTTCAGTAAAAGGACACAGAGGGAACTTTACCCAGAGCGATGTTTCAGCAAATTCACCTGGTTGCAGCTATTCAATGAGCACCTGTTTCTTGCACCCAACGTGCTGCCTCACTGGACCTTGCTTCCCACGGCCCAGGAACCAGCCACGCGGCAAACACACCCACCTGGGTGGGGCTCACACTTGGGGGGGAGCTGTCGTTATTATCCTTATTATTTCATGGCCATCAGTCACCATAAGGCTGTATGTGGATTTTGCCTTCTGATGGAAGTGAGAGACGGGCCCAAGTTGGAATTAAGGTACCTGGTGTGAGATACCAGGCACCTTTTCTGGGCCCCAGGCCCCCCATGTGCTCAGGCCTTACTGGAGCCAGTCACAAATGGGGCCTTGGTTAGTGCGGGTTTCCATGGATGACTCTTTAGATAAATGGCTTGATATAAATTGGTCCTCTCCCCACCCACATGGTCCATTCCCCCAAGTGGAGAGTGAGACGAAGCCCCTTGGATTCGCTCATCTTCCCAGCTGAGTGAATACTGAAGGTGCAGCCACTGGTCTCCATCAGCTGAGGTTCATCCCACGTCAAGCGAGGTTCTGACACCAGATAACATACTGAATAGGGTGCTTCCCGGGACTGAGTGGTTTGTTTTATTGCACAAATTTCAGACTGTTTAGTGTGTAAACAAGAAGTTGTATTCAGAAAATTGCAAAAGAAAACCCAAGAGATAATAAAGACTCCAGAAAAATGGAAAATGTTCTTGGGGTAATGAAAGCCAAGAAAAATAAACTTAAAATCCATTTTGAATAAGGCTCTGTGTTATTTCAATTCTTTGTGTATATGAGTGACTCATTGTAATCTAGTCACAAGTGATGGAAAAAGTGAAATGAAAGACAACTCCAAATACAGTCAGTTTCGATGCTACGTTATATTCAATGTCTCTAATAAACCCCTAGGTGGAAGACATATACAATTTTCGCCAAAAGAAAATTTATCTCTTCTCACTAAATAAATGTGGACTACATGGTAAAAGAATACTGGCTTGACGTGGGGCTACATTTGTAGCTGCCCAGAAACTGTCATGTCTGGGTCCCTTCCTGCTGGATGGAGGCTGTCTGCATGTGATAAGGGCCTCAACTCATTTCTTAATTTAAAATTTTAATCCATTGTTTGCGCACTTATTAATTAAAATCAGTGTATTGAACACCTATTATATCGTAGGTACTGAGAATGCAAAATGAGTGAGCCTCGCCTGCCCTCACAGAGCACAGAGAGAGAGAAGGGAACCACATCACGGGGGTGGGAGGGACTGCAGGGCTGAAGTGAGGTCCAGCCTGGCCGCACGACCAGCAAAGTCCGCGGGAAAATCCGGAACAGAGGCGGCGCAGCCAGTGCATCAGTTAGCCAGACGGCCCTGAGGCAGCAAGGTCGGCAGTGTGTGTGTGGGGAGGGCTCATACATCTGGTTCTGGGAGGCCAGAGGGGCCCTTCCTTTCCTGCAGTTCTCTTGCTTTGGACCAGGGGGTCATTAACTTGTTCTGTGAAGGTGAAATACTGTCCCTTTGTGGGCCAGGTGGAAGAGCCTTAGGTATAGTCACTGTGTGGGTACGGCTCGGACCCTGTACCCTTGGTCCTCCTCGGTGAAAGGAGATGAAAATCCCATCTCCTCCTCCCATCACCACCTCCCCCGCACTGGCCTTCCCTCCTCACTAAGAAGTCTCTTAGAGGACATAGGATTAAATATATACGTGTCTGTGTGCGTGTGTTGGTACATATGTATACACACATAGGATTAGATATATATGAATATGTGTATGTGCAGATATATGTGTATATATGTGTGTGTTCCACTGGTGCTTTAAGTGAAGGGTGTTGTTTCTTCTTTGGTTTCTCCTGGAGTTCTTGGCGGCCGTCCACATACTGACATTTCACCCTTCATGCGCTCTGGGGGATAAGACTTCCAAAATCCAGTTCCTTGCTCTCAGGAGTTGGCCAAGCAACCGAATAGCTTCTGTCTCCTGTGTCTCAAAATCGTCAGGGCGGTGCAGGCTGCATTTTTCCAGGACTGGACGGGATGCCAAAGTGATGATGTCACAGCCCTGGCACCAGCCCCTCCGTTTCCTGTTCCTTCCCTCCCGACAAACTCATGAATCATATCAGCTTTATCATTTGACTCAGGGCTCACTTCCCTGTTCCACAGACGTTTGGACTTACAGGAGGTGGGAGCCAAGTGTCATCAAAACACGAAGCCTGAGTAGTTTTTTTCTTACAAAGCTCGAACACATGTTCTCCCGCCTCAAAAAAAAAAAAAAAAGCACAGTGTCTGGCTTAATTTGGAACATTCTGGCCAAGCGCTCTGCTCCCGGGTTCAGACAGTGGTGATCTCATCCGAAAAGCTGGAGGCTCCCAGGGCCGAGGCAGGCAGGGTCCCAGCCAAAGTGGCGGCAGCGCCCTTGAGCGCATCCCGTCTTGGCTCTCGAGGGGCGGGCACACTACAGGGGTCGTAACAGTGAACCCAGTCGAGTGTTCCAGACTTTGAGGCACTCAGATGCAGGCTGTGATTGTGTTTAGAGATCACGTCTCCCCGTCCCCCTCGACGTTTCCCCAGTGTCTCTCCCTCTGCACCTCACATCTCTGCCCTCGGGGAACAGTGTTGACAGAAAAGTGAAACAAGGTCTACTGTATAGCACAGGGAACTATATTCAATATCCCGGGATAAACCATAATGGAAAAGAACATGAAAAAGAATGTATATATATGCATAACTGAGTCACTTTGCTGTACAGCAGACATTAACACAACATTGTAAATCAACTACACTTCAATAAAATAAATTTTAAAAAAAAGAAAAAAACTTCAACTGGTGAGTTTGAAACTAAAACATCAATGACCCATACATACGAGGAGGGTCTCAGGGTCAGAGGCAGGAGTTACCCAGATGCTCTGCTACCTGGAAGGTGAGCTTACCTTACCTCACAAACACCCACTGCTGGACTGATCAGGCACTTACTGCCCAACCCTCTGGGGTAAATACTAACTGTTGTCCCCATTTTACAGATGAGGAAGCTGAGAGCTGGGAGGCACCTTGGCTAAGGTCGCATGGCTGGCGAGTGTCCA